ATTATTACATTTCCGTATTGATCACAAAACCTATAACATTTGCTTCCTGTTTGATAGCCTAAGCAAATCAACTTCTTTGCTTTTGGGCAACCTTTTGTTCTGCATGTTTTGGATAAATGAACATGACAACCAAAATTTTTCATCTTTCAGAGAAGTTTTGTCTTCCATGTAATAGAAAACAGGGCATATTTTCTATTGCAGAGTTCCACACTCTGTTTACAATACAGTTAGCACATTTCATGGCTGAACCCCAATAACTTCTGGTTAACTTTGCATCAGCAAGTAATGAGTCTAGTACAGTTTGCAAAACTTCATTCCTTCTTTCTACAATTCCATTCTCAGCAGCAATTTGTACACCTGTGACAAATGCCTTTTTTCTTAAGATGATTCATTAATTTGTCAAGTAAGACACATAGGCTTCTAGCAACATGGGGACTTCATTATCAAGTCTTCAGCAACAATATGTACAGGACCTCCACTGTACTTGCCTTCAAAGCGCACGTAACATCCTTTTCAATCCAGAATTTGAGGCAAAACTGCTCAAACAACTTCCTCAAATTCTGCCTCCACCCACCTTAACTCCCCTGCTGCACTCTCCGTCTCATTCTGACCAGCCTGAGAACACCTCCTGGAAAACCCAGGATGACTTAAAAGCATTGCCCCCTCAAGCAACTGAGATTGATAACCGTCCTTCAATGGATACAACTGGTGCTTGTGCAGAAACTGGTGTCATTTCTGCTTCTCATGTCCTGCAGGAGACTGCCATAGCAGTTCCTGTCAGATCTGAACTTTTCCAGGCTCAAGGCATCCACGAACTGCAAAGCAGTACCAAGGACAATGAGATGGAATGCTTATCTGCCCCATGGCTTGTCCCTAGTGACGGGGGGAAAGGTCTCTTTTCACCAGCAAAAGGACTCACTTGCCTTCAAGAATGGGAAGATTTAGCATTTAAGCGAGCAGAAATTAATGCTGGTGCACCCTCTGATCGTCCTCTAATTCAGCCAATGTTTATGAGAGGAGCTGCATTTGCTACTGCTGTTCAGCAAGACTTCACGGCAGCAGCTCTAACTCAAGCAGCAGGAGTAGCTATACACGCCTGGAAGCCGGCATTCCAATCAGCAAATCACACTGCAAGCTGCCTGACTCCCTCCCTGGCTGGCCTGAAAGAAGAAACAGCTACCTCATTGTCTCCGCCGGGTCAGCCAAAGTTGCATGATTTCCAAGGGAATTAGGACCCAGGCCCAGAGAAAATAATAGAGGACCTGCAGAATTTCTTTGATATCATGGGCTGGGGTACAAAAGCAGCTTTACAAGCATTAGATGCATCATATAAGGAAGGGGAGGAGGAAGAGAATCTAAAGGGGGTGGCTGCTACACCACAACATAAAGTTTGTTTTGAACTGCTTTTTCCATGTGCTAATCCTGTTTGGGTGAAAAATCCTACTCAGCCGGACATGGCAGTTATCCAGATCCTGATCATCCAGATGGGAGGACGTCCAGTCCAGAGCCTAGTGGATACAAGTGCTGATATCCCAGTTGATATCATAGCTGGGAAAGATTGCCCCCCACCTGGCCAGTAGATAGATTAATGCTGCATATTGGGGTGGGAGGAGGTGAACCAGCTCCTTAAAGTTTTCCCCCATCACCTTCCAATCTGGAGAAAGCATTGTTTACACTCCAGCCACTTGTAAGGGATCCAAAGGATGTCCTGGACACTGTTTCCTGAGTAGCTCGGCATGATGGACTTCATACAAGCCTGCATTCCTGTCTCTGCCTCTGTGCCTTCAGGAGTAATAGTGTCAAGATCTTAAGAGTGACTCCAGGCGTTCTGCCTGCTATTTTGGCTACCTCATGGCTGCTAAATGCAGTTCTCTACATCCCTGAAAAAAGGCTTGTTCCAGATGATTAACTGCTTGTTTCTTTTCTGCATGGGTGTAAGTTTGCTCTGAGTTCATGACTGTTCAAGTCTGCATATGACTGTGTTATGGTCATAGCTCCATGATGCCACCTGAGCATTTTTACAGGTATCTTTTTATTATGAGACCAGTCACTCATTAACAGTTAATTTAAATTTAGATATAAAGGGTGTCATGAATTTGATTATGAAAATAGAATAGAGTTGTATTTCATAGGATTTAGTTCAGAGCTGCAACGAAAAAGCTAGAAAGCTGCTTATGCCCAGGTGCTAATTAGAGGAAAAAATGTACAAGGTCAGTTCTTCTCCAGCTAAAGAAAAAAAAAGAGTTAAGAAGAGCAAGCTGACCCATATCTTATCTCAACTCCATAGACAAGGACATAACTTCTTAATTTAAGGAAGATGGGCGAAGAGAGACTTAGAACTGCCTTTACACAATAAACAATCTGGAAGGTCTGCTCTTCCTCTTTTATTACTTCAGGACCCTCTTTTGGTAGCGTAATGTAGCCAGATCAAAACATTCTTAGTTCTAAAATATCCAATTTACTATAGTAGCTTGGTCTATACAAGGAGACAGCTTACAGACAATTTGTCTTTTATATTTTATTACAAAAGATACCATTTCAACAAGCTTAGTTTAACGTCATTTAGTATTTCCAAAATAACCCCCAGCCTTAGCCACCAGTCATTTCCTCTATAAAATGAAAACAATAAAATGTCTAACTAGATCTTAAATAAGCATTCTTACGTAGTCTTCTGATTAAAGTTCTGTCGGCTGCATTTCTCTCGGTGTCGTCTCTCTTCCTTCTTCTCCGTCCTTCTCCCTCCGTCTCTCTTCGCCCATCTTCCTTAAATTAAGAAGTTATGTCCTTGTCCATGGAGTTGAGATAAGATATGGGTCAGCTTGCTCTTCTTAACTCTTTTTTTTTTCTTTAGCTGGAGAAGAACTGACCTTGTACATTTTTTCTTCTAATTAGCACCTGGGCATAAGCAGATTTCTAGCTTTTTCGTTGCAGCTCTGAACTAAATCCTATGAAATACAACTCTACTCTATTTTCATAATCAAATTCATGACAAAGGGGACTAACAAGTACCTCTATCTTTTTTCCTACTCATCCCTCAAAATAAAAATAAAACACAGTAAAGAATAAAAGACAAAACGGCTATAGAATTGGACTGGCAGATTATGGGGTTAAAGTTGCTGTTCTTAAGTTACTGTTTTTAAAGTTGCTGTCTTTAAAGTTGCTGTTATGTTACCAAGCTGTACACCTGTTAATTGCCTTTTATGCAAAAGCTCTGTATGCTTTACAATTTTCTGCTTTTTCCTCATAGCAGTCCGCTGTGTTTTATGTATCTAAATATTAATCATGCACTCTTAGCAATGGAATGTTTAATTAGTGATCAATATGTTTTCTTTTCCTGAATATGGTTATGTACTTATTATGCATAATTATTGTAACTGTAATTTTAGTTATCCAATATTGCGTTTTCTTTAATCTACACTGTGATGCTGACTATGTGTTCTGCATTTTTCCGTAAGTCTGTACCTCAACTATCTTTTATCACTAAGCAATTGTATCAGGTAAAATATCATGTTCTTGATACTGTCCCACCCTCTGCCGAAGACGAGCCTGACTTCATGACATCATACCAGCGCCGGAACTCCCTGGATTTGGAATTTTCAGGAGTCTACAACAGCCATCGTCTTCAATAAAATGAATAAAAACGGATGGGAAGTGGGGAAATTGTATGCTTTTACAATGTATATATCTGTGGCAATAGCAGTCATTGTACTAAGCGCGCAAATCACATATACAGTGTGGTTGCTTCCAGAAAAGGATGATTCATTAACCTGCTTTTAATTACCTGTCTCTGGGTAAATTGTATCAACTTACTTGTGTATTTAAAGTGTTATCTGTCTCTGTTTACCCTGCTCTGTATTCAGGAATGTTTACCCTGCTTGTGTATTTAGGATTTACGTGCCTCTGTTTACCGGCCCCTCTGTTTGCCATACTTGTGTATTCAGGATATTACCTGCCTGTGTTTAGAATGGTCACTGGTGAACTTGTTCAAAGGTAGTAGAAAACAATAAAAGGGGGGCGCGGCGACGGATAGGGAGAGTGTTCCCACTGAACAGCATGTTGCACAGCATGCTGTTTAGTTCATCAGGATCCTCGTCCTGAAAACACACTCGAGTGCTCGCCTCTTCATTTCTCCTTGCTGGTCAAGGAGAAGTTTCATTTGCAGATCCCGACAATTAGGTTTCATCTGCAGATCCCTACAACTAAGCTTCATCTGCAGATCCCGACATAGAACAGCTCCTGAAATGGCATTGCTTGCCTCACACGTAGCTGGAAAAAGTTCCTACAAAAAACAGTTTGGAGAAGAGACAAGAGAAGGACACTTGATGAGGACGAGCCAACTCTACAGGCAGAACTTTCGGCATTGTGCTGAAATACGGGATGAACACTTCAGAGGCAACA